GTGCAAATGGCAAATAGCGTTTCCTCTATGCATTCGGCTGGCCGCAAAAACGTATGCAACACCTTTTGTTTGGCGATCGTGTGCTAATACGCTGCGAAAAAATGGTTCACCCTTGCTCGCACCGCCCCTCTTCTCGTGTCCCCCTTTACCTGACACTTTGCTATGGCTTTTTGTTAGGCATTTTGTTTGGCCGGGCTCTTTCCTTTCTAGCCTTCTTTTGGTCTCCGGCCGCCCGCCTCTATTCTGCGGGCGTTAACCGAGGTTGTTTTGTTGTTGACTTTGCGCTCCAGTTGCTGGTCGCGAAAAAAAAAGAAAACAGGCTGCTGGGCTTGGCTTACTGGGTGGTTTTGGGTGGCGGATTAAAAGCCAAGCGAGTGTTAGAGGGTGCATATTTGCCTTTGTGGAACTATCATTAAACAAGTGAAGCCACCAGCAGAAAACTGCGGAAAACTACTACACACAAGCCACCACACAAGCAGCTCACCTCAATCCACCACACGAAACACATTAAAAGCAAGGCCAAAAGACAAATGCACTCACACAAACAAAGCAACAAAGGAGCTAAGCTTTCAGTGAAACAAAAAACCCAAACAAAAATCTAGAATAAAAGCTTTAAAAGCGAACTCATTATACAATAGTTATAGGGTGTTAAATTCGTTGATAAGTTGTCTGGAAATAAAGATACAGAGTGACCAAGAAGAAACAGTTCGGTAAATGCCTAACTAATGATCAATTGTGACCATGCGACTAGATAACGATTGAAATTAAGAGCCAACAGTTTATATTTTTTTTTTCAAATATATTTATGCTGTTATTTATTAAAGACATCGAGATTAAACTTTTATGAAGTAGGTAATTCAATTTTTATATTCTTTTTTTTGTCAGTGTAATCACTGCCTTTTGATTTCTCCGCTGCAGTTTTGTAGCCCTTTTACGCTGCTTCATCTGCAGCTTCCTTTTTTTTGCAAGATGAAGCAGCAGCATTTTCCTTCCTTGCCTTAATGTGTTTTGCTGCGTTTCCCTCGCTTTGATTTCAACAGTTATCCTAGTATCCGAGCCATCGCTTTTAGACCTTTCAGTCCTGCATTTGACATGGCATTTTGCATACAACGGCGATTCACAGGAACTAACAACACTCGCAGGGCAAACAACCACAAAGGACGCCGAAGCAGCAGCCAAGTGTCGAGCTGTTTGCCCAAAAAATGCCTCAAGGACTGTTAAACCGAAGCCTGCCATTGTCATCTCTCTATGCTATGGTCTTTTATTTTCCAGCGTTTGTTTTCCTTTTCTTCCTGCCGCTTGTGGGTTAAGCAATTTAAGGATTTCTGTTGGGCATTTGAGTGATTTCTGATTGGTGTGTGTTTGTGGGCAAACAGTTTTTTATTTTTGCGGAGTGGCAAAGCCCTGTTTGCTGAATGGAAATAGATCAGTTTATGATGCGAAATCCTTGGGGACTTTAGCCGGGCACTTAAGTAAATCGCTTGCAATACAAATAAGAAGCAAACAAGTTTGTGAAGTGTTTAGCTTTTGGTTCAGGTGATGAAGCAGTTGGACCACAACACGTCTTTTTTTCATTTATATATATGGGGTTTATCTTTATCATAGCAAATTTTAAATACATTTTTTTTTCTGCTTCAGAAGACCTTTTTTCTTAACTCTACTTTTTTTTGTAAATTTACCAACTGGAACTTAAATAGTTTCAGCACTTTATTGGTTGTCAAGCGCTTTCGACCCCAAAGGTCCTTCTTTTCCGCGCTCTTCTTATAAAGAGAAACAACGCTTCAATTTGTCTCCAGTTGTCAGGTCGCGTTGTTGTTGGTGTTGGTGCTGTACTATCGCTGCCACTTTTCTCGCCCTGCAACTTTCATCAGCCAACTAGTACTGCTGCTGTTGTCGGTGACTTTGACACCGTTTTCCACTTTTCGTTAGCATGTGAGCAGGAGCAAGGAAGCCAACCAAACCACCATTTTCGCTTACGTTGACATGGCACTTATTTTCTTATTATTAAGTATACGCTTAGTGGGCCTGTGAGGAGATGGCGATGTTGCAGCTGCGGAAGTGCGCCAAGTAATGATTACTTTGTGTCTGCCACTGACAAATGCCGTCAGTCAAAGTCAAAGTTGATGACAAGAAGGGATGCAGAATGGGTGCAGGGTACAGCCGTGTGGATGGTGTTGACGATGACTCAATGCAGAAGGAAGTTCAAGCACATAAAAGGTGCACAGACAATGTAAAGAAGTCGCCAGTCTCCAACATATAGCAGTTCCTTTGGCCTGTGCACTCATGTGCATCGGCTTTCGATGGGATCACAGAGTGGGCGGAGTAGTCCCTTGACAGTCCATTTCATTGCAAAGGAAGTGAGCTGTAACTGGGATGCGAAAAAGAATTGCGAAAATGCACATTGTCGGTTTTGAAATTCTAATAAGATTTTTTCTTCTTCAGCTCTCACATTTATTGTTGAATTTTCAATGAGATTTTTTCGAAAAAAAAAAAACATAAATAGAGCTTTCAAACTTTAAGTATATATAATGTGAAAAAAATAAGGAAAAAAGCATTCAAGTAATCAGGCTTACACTTTAACTACTATAATAGAACTTTTATTTTTCAATTATTTTTTCTAAAATAAGCAAAAAGGAAAGTTAACTTTCACATTTTTAGAATGTTTTGATTAGATAAGCGCATTGCTTGCGGCAGGGTCTCACGATCTTTGTTATCAGCTGATCTGTCTGGAGATAAAAGCTTACAAATTTGGGAAGTGAAAAAGTTGTTAATTAATAATAACTAACTGTTGTCACTTTGCCTGCAAATGATATAAAAACTTTTTATTACATTTTGACAGTTGTTACTTTCTTGACAGAATTATTCTGGTTAATATTTTCTTTTATATCAATTACTTAGAAGTTGGTTTCTATTTAAATGGTTAATATAAATCAATGACTTCGTTGGTGAGCTGATGAACCCCTTTCTAAACGCCATTAACCTGCATTCATAGTGAATTTAGCTCCAGGGTAGATTTTGAGGAAATTAGGAAAAATCATTCCGCATGGGTGGTGGCTGGTTGAAAGCCGCTCCCAACACCAAATTCAATTTCCTATCCACTTAGCTATTGATTACCATGGCCCGAACACTGCACACCAACGGCTTCCGTCGCAGCCCGTCAAATCCGTCCAAACAACACATCGCCCATGGCCATCTCCACTTCGTTCGTGCCACAGCCCCCACTTCCCCAAACGATCCATCTCCTTGTGCTTGGCATTTCCGCTGTCACTCGCTTTAATTACGCCCCCACTTCGGCCGACTTTCTGGCCGAGTGACTAGTGACTGCCCAAATCCAGAAATCCTCTATCAATAGATGAAATATGCCCGTCAATGCATTGGCCTCTGGCCATCATCAGTCATGGGCATATTTTGACAGTGGCATTAATCGGAAGCATCGAATCTTCTATAGCGTCCATAGCTCTCCGCGTTGATTCTTATTTGCAATCGAAACTTGTCCACGGGTGACAATCACTGACTGCCTTTTGGCCAGCAGTTCCCCTTTTGGCCATATAATCTATTCAAGCCTCTTGTTTGCCACGGGTTGTCAACATCAAAATGGCCTTCGCTAACGATGCAAAGTGGCAATCAATATTTCTTTTGTTGCTTCTCCCAATTAATAGCAGATAAAAGTTCTTGTGTGCATATTTTCCTCTTTGTCCGCCTGTTCTGGCATGTTTGGGCTTTTTGTAATAGGCCAAAAGTTTTGTACAGCGAACTCAAATTGGATGTGTCAGTTGCAGGCGATTTGTTAGCTTAATTGGCTAGAGGAAGAAAACATCTGCATCGCTTACAAGTTCAGGGTAATTATCTTTCCAGGAGAGGATTCTGAAGGCCGTTATAGCTATTAGCTGATATTTTTTCATAAATATCATAAACTTTATTTAATTAATGGTGCAACATGCTGGTGCAAAAATGTTTGCAAAGAATTAAAAACAACTTTGCTGTCATTTTCAGTGAGTTTTTTCTTCACACACGAGTGCTTTTATGACAGCTGTCTGTCGCTTATCATTGTCTGCACTGCCAAATATAAAACAATCAGAATGGGAGTCTTTGAAAACGTGTCGAAGTGTTGATGTATAAATAGCCCGCGCTTGTAATACATGAAACGGAAGGCTTCAATTTGATTTTTATGATAATTTAAACAACAGAATATGGCAATAAACAGAAATAGAGCAAAATTTTAATGTTTCAAAGAAAGATGGTGTAAAAATAGACGAATTTCCGCGTAATTTTGATACTGGGCTTATGTGTCTACATTGTTGGCCTCATTCATTGCTCATTTATTTTTTTAACTATACGATTTTACGTAAGTGCGAGCAAGACAAACGTATGACGATTCCAATGAGCGATGAATAAAATTAAAGATAAAACGGAATAAAAAAGCGAGGCTTAAATGTATACGAAATATTTTTTTACCATTTAAAGGTAACAACTGAAACCTTTAAACGTTAAAACTAGCGGGATAAACACAATATTATAAACAAAACAATAATGTTTGAACTACACGTTAAAACGGCAGTGTGACCGTGAACTTATTATCAAAGAAATCTTAAGCAGTATCCATATAGTTGTCTCTGTAATGTCATACCCTTATATGGAGTCTATCAAATTTGCTTACCTATCAACTTTGGGAATGGACTTACATAATACATAGTCAAAAAATAGCTGAAAGAGATTATTTATAGTTAAATGTTCAATTAAAAAAAAACGATTAATAAATATATTGATATCGGTCGATTTGCTTGGAATCTTTAAAAGTCAATAAAGTTTAAGCGAATTTTCAAAAAGCCAAATAAAGAAAAACTGATAAATGTTGTTCACGAAAGTTTACGCTGATTGTGATGAGGGCGTATGCGAAACAGATCTTGTTAATAATTTAGTATCAGTGCAAAATTTTGTTAGCCAATTTGTTAATGAGTATTTTAGCAAATTGAAAATTTAGCATGGTATAAATAATGGGGTTCGTGGCTGGAAATGTCCACAGTACATTCTCAGTCTGGGAAACGTGAACGTGAACCATCTGCAGACATGAGGAATATTTACGGTAACCGAACACTTTGGGAATCCATCAGTTGAAGCTAACAAATAACATTTTGGTCCCACAGCTTTTGCCCTGCTGCTCATTGCAGTCATTGCAAGCACCACCAGCGGTGCCAGCGTTCCCGGCCAGGATCAACTCCTGTGTCGAAACAAGGCCAACGGCATTCGGGTCCTGGTGCCAGGCAGTTGCTCAAGGTTCTATGAGTGCCACAACGGCATTGCCACGGAATACTCCTGTCCCAACTTCTATGACTTCAAGACCCGCAGCTGCGTGACTTATAACCCTGGATGTACCGAAGACCTTGTAGTGGAGCCAGTGGCTCAGCATTCCGCCCGCGATACTGCTAAGCCGTGCAATGGGGCCACTACCACTGCGCCACCTTGTGAAACTACAACCAAGCCTCCGTGCTCAGGAACAACCCCAGCTCCAGTTAACACAACCCCTGCTCCCTCGGCCACTACCACCTGTTCCCCAGTAATAATTACTACAGGTACGACCACAAGCACCGTGGCTTCTACTACAACTGAAACCACCACCACATGTGCCCCAACAACAACCTCCACTACGACATCCACTACGACCTCGACCACGACAACGACAACCACCTGTGCCCCAACAACAACCACGACAACCACAACGACAACCACGACTACAACTACAACTACTTGTGCCCCAACAACAACCAGAACCACGACCACTGCGGCACCAACTACAACCACAACAACATGTGCCCCAACAACCACTTCCACTACGACAACCACAACCACTGCGGCACCAACTACAACCACAACAACATGTGCCCCAACAACAACCACTACCACAACGACGACAACTACCACAACTACTTGTGCCCCAACAACAACCACCACAACAACCACTACGACAACTACTACTACAACAACAACGACAACTACAACCACATGTGCCCCAACAACAACTACAACCACATGTGCCCCAACAACAACCACCACCACAACGACGACAACTACCACAACCACTTGTGCCCCTTCAACAACCACCACCACAACTACAACCACATGTGCCCCAACAACAACCACCACCACAACGACGACGACTACCACAACCACTTGTGCCCCAACAACAACCACCACCACAACGACGACGACTACCACAACCACTTGTGCCCCAACAACAACCACCACAACAACCACTACGACAACTACTACTACAACAACAACGACAACTACAACCACATGTGCCCCAACAACAACCACCACCACAACGACGACAACTACCACAACCACTTGTGCCCCAACAACAACCACCACAACAACCACTACGACAACTACTACTACAACAACTACTACTACAACAACAACTACTACAACAACAACTACTACAACCACATGTGCTCCAACAACAACCACCACCACAACGACGACAACTACGACAACCACTTGTGCCCCAACAACAACCACCACAACAACCACTACGACAACTACTACTACAACAACAACGACAACTACAACCACATGTGCCCCAACAACAACTACAACCACATGTGCCCCAACAACAACCACCACCACAACGACGACAACTACCACAACCACTTGTGCCCCAACAACAACCACCACAACAACCACTACGACAACTACTACTACAACAACAACGACAACTACAACCACATGTGCCCCAACAACAACTACAACCACATGTGCCCCAACAACAACCACCACCATAACGACGACAACTACCACAACCACTTGTGCCCCAACAACAACCACCACAACAACCACTACGACAACTACTACTACAACAACAACGACAACTACAACCACATGTGCCCCAACAACAACCACCACCACAACGACGACAACTACCACAACTACTTGTGCCCCAACAACAACCACTACGACAACTACTACTACAACAACAACGACAACTACAACCACATGTGCCCCAACAACAACTACAACCACATGTGCCCCAACAACAACCACCACCACAACGACGACAACTACCACAACCACTTGTGCCCCAACAACAACCACCACAACAACCACTACGACAACTACTACTACAACAACAACGACAACTACAACCACATGTGCCCCAACAACAACCACCACCACAACGATGACAACTACCACAACCACTTTTGCCCCAACTACAACCACCACAACAACCACTACGACAACTACTACTACAACAACAACGACAACTACAACCACATGTGCCCCTACAACAACAACAACCACCATAACGACAACTACAACGACTGGCTCAACAACAACAACTACCGCTTGCGCTGATGTGACAACGACTACCGCATGTGCTGATGCCACAACAACCACAGCATGTGCTGATGCGACAACAACTGCCTGCCCGACAGCCTCAAAGGCGGTAGCTGCCGCCCACTCAAAACGTAATCCCGTCCGCCGGAACCCCGTGCACCGTCTCCTCTGGGAAGTGGCCCAACTGGCGGGCATTTCGTCCACTGGACCCGAGGTTCAGCTTAAGGTCTCCTGTGCCGGCAAACCCGATGGATTCCTGATGGCTTCGCCCGAGCGGTGCAACGACTACTACATCTGTCGCCACCAGCGCGCCCTGAAGGTCAGCTGCGGTGACAGATACTTCAATGGACTGAAGGGCATCTGCGATCTCCCCGAAAACACCAGCTGTGTTCAGTCCTAAGTGATAGCTGACCCAAATGCGGAGACCAGAAACATCATGGAAATGTGACAACTAATTATGGATCGAAATTTGAAATATTTATAACAGCACTATTTGAACATGCACCTATAAAACAGCAAAGGCTTATAAAAGGCTATTGACAAAAAAAATATGTTTTTAGTTTTTTTATTGGGCACAAAAATTATTTCTTAATTCTTGGGACTAGGTATTTAATTTGCGAATTGCACAAAATAGAAGTTTTTCTTACTAGTTTTTTTTTTCAAACATGTTAGGGGAAGGAACTGAAATATATACGCAATATGTATGTAAGTTTGCTAAAGACATTGTGTTGGGAATTTAAAAATGTTCACAATGCACTTAAGAAAAAAAAGAATTTTTGAGTTTTTGTAAATGTTTATATTTTTTATGGTTTACTAATTAACTTTTTGCCATTTGAAAAACCGTACAATTCTTTTTTTTATTTGTAGGCTAATCTGGTAGTTGTTATTCTATGATTTAGCTTTAATGTTATGCTAATGTTTAACTAATGAACCCCTTTCTCTCGCATTTCTCATTACAGCATCACAGCCGCACATTGGGACCGCCACAGCTAGGATTTCGAACAACGGTCACGACAACCATTGGAAAAATTCTCAAGCACAATGAAAAACGACGTCGTACGATGGAGAAGGCAGGCAACTAGCAACGTCAACAGCAGTAGTAGCAACAGCCGAGGCGCCAACAGCAATAGCCAAAAACATAAGAGCAAAAGCAATCAATTAAATGCTCGACAATTAGGGCCGCATGCTGCCAGAAGTTGTCAGCGAAAAGCCGAGACAACAAAACTAAATGAAAAACAACAACAACAACAACAAACAATCATTGAATGTGATATAGGAAATTTCGATTGCAATTTATTCAAAACTAGATTTTTAACGCAATGCAAATCGAAACATAGTGGCAACAGCAACATAATAAACAGCAGTAGTAGCAGCCGCAGCAGACACTTGGCGAAAACGAAAGCTTTATTGCTGTTAGCTCTGCAATTTAGTGCCGTAGTTTTTTTATGTAATTTTAATGTCGGTTTCGTGGCCGGAAGTGTGGCAACTGGGGCATCATCAGCTGGTGGTTCTGCTCAGGTTGCACCACCAAACCCTGCGCCTTCATCTCCGCCAGCAGCAGCACCACCGCCACCACCGCCGTCATCACTCAAAGTGGACCCAAATGGCCAGTCGCCAGTGCTGCCGCCATATATCCTTGACTACGAGACGGGCGGCAGGGCGAAGTTGACGCCCAACAGCGGCAAGTACAGCCAATCGGGCAGTTCCGTGAGCAACAACCAAATAACCGGTCACTATACACACACCTGGGCGGTGCACATACCGAACGGCGACAATGGCATGGCCGACGCTGTAGCCAAGGATCACGGTTTCGTCAATTTGGGCAAGGTAAGTGACTTCAGTTGAAATAAGTTTAAAGTTCATTAAAATATTACATAAGAATCATAATTAGTCAACAATATGCTTTTTAGCTTATTTTCTAAAATCGAAATTTGTACTCCAAGCCCAACTATCCAAAACCTCAATGTGGAGTAAAGTGCCCGAATTTATTTTTTAATTTTTTCAATTTTTAATTTCAATTTAACATTTTACTTATACCCTTCAAAATTGTACTTAAAAAACATTGTATTTGAAACTTAATTAATGGGTTCCTTTCGATTTCTTTTTTAAAACACGGATATTTTAACCCGAAGGAATTCTATTAAAAACTTAAATTCGACGATGTGGAATTGCTTAAATAAATGTTTTTTTTTAATTTTTATATAACATTTATACTATTGAAAACTAAATTTTGTAAAGCCGCCTTTATGTATTTTTATACCCTTGCAGAGGATATTATAATTTCAGTCAGAAGTTTGCAACGCAGTGCAGGAGACATCTCCGACCCTATTAAATATATATATTCTTGATCAGCTCACTAGGCGAGTCGATCTAGCCATGTCCGTCTGTCCGTCCGTTTCCACGCAAACTAGTCTCTCAGTTTTAAAGCTATCTGCATGAAACTTAACCAAAAGTTTTCTATCTATTGCAGGGAGCCGGATCGGACGACTATAGCATATAGCTCCCATAGGAACAATCGAAAAAAAAATAAACAAGAAAGAAAGCAAACTTCGGCAAACCGAAGTTCATATCCCCTTGCAGCTATTGCAAGAATTAAACATTTTTTAAAACATTTAAATTATGATTTACTTTCGTATATGTTTAAAAACATTGAAACTATGATGATTTTCAATTTCTCAATTATTTGATAGTTATTTTATATATTTTTATTATTTCTATGGGAGCTATATGATATAGACGTCCGATTTTGATAAAATTTAAACCATAATTCTGAAATAATTAAACATTGCTATTTGTCAAAGAACTAAACAAAAAATTAAAAAACAGAAAAGTTATAATTTTTTTTTTTTTATTTATTTTTCCGATTGTTCCCATGGGAGCTCCCCCTGGATTTCTCAAAGAAGTTTTGGGCAACACCTAAAGCAATATCCAGTGAGACTCGTTAGCCAGTTTAGCATATGATTAGAACACTCAAATGTGAGACTATTAAAAGTTTGTGGCACCGGAGAGAAGTTTTTCGTTATGAAAAGAAGCATTTGGCTCTGGGGGAGCCGTAATATCTATTGCTAAGGCAGAGCACTGGACAAAGTTTCCTCGGCAGAAATCAGTGTTCCCACTTTTGCATCCACTGCATTCGTGTGCTATCCAGCTTTGCTTGGATGTCTGTTAGCCAGTGAGTGAAAACATTGGGGGGGAAAGTGGGTTCGAAATGCGGGCACAGGTGTTGCCGCAGGACAAGTTTAATCTGAAAGCATTTCGACCATGTACTTTCAAATGCTACTTTGATACACACACCTTCGCTACTTCTCCGATATCCTCCGCACTCCAGTTCGCAACCCAGACGAGAACCCGCTAAGTGACTGTCAAGTTATCCTGGCCAGCACAAATGGAGCTCAAATCGCCTTGTAATGGCATCGTTTGCGATAAAACAAGGCAGCTGGAGATGGAGAAAAGTGGGGCAGGAGTAGAAGTGGTCCTAAGTATGGATTTACAGATGCTTGCTGTTAACTACACTTGCAGAAATCACTGTGGAATTAATTTATGCCATCAGGACGTATTTGATTTCGATTTATTTTTAGTTGGATTTATTGCCTTTCTTTGTTTATTGGCTCAAGTATTTAATATTTTGTGAAGACAATTAGACTTTTAAATTTGTTTAAAATAAAAAACAAAATTTAAAGTTTGATAGTATACAAAAATATTTGATTTAGTTTAATTTTTAGATAGATTGATTGACTTTCTCCATTTATTGCCTCAAAAGATAATAAAATGTGAGGAAAATTTAATTATTAAAGTGACATACAAATTAATTGAATATCTATTTATACAAGAACCCAGTTAAAAACGCCAGTACACAGAAATACCTATCGCGCACATCTACCACCCAATGGAGCATTTGAAAGTAAAATGCATTCCAAACAGTTATTTTGCGGCTGCCAAGGGTTAAGTCCTACTCTCGCTGTCTGAGCTTCAAATGGAGCCCGGAATTTGTGTTTTCAATTGAGGGGCAGACCAAGCCGTCACGCAGTTGGTGGACGTAAAAAGCCTCAGCCACGAAAAGACCAACTGTGCGTCGGTTACCATTATTGGAATCCTTTTTGTTGGAAGGAAAAATTGAATGGATGGCAGAGAATGCCGAATTTAAGTAGCCTTCGTGTCGGTGGAAATTAGTATCACTCACAATGCCGCCCTCTCTTTCTCGACCATTGACTTAATTGGCAGAAACAAAAAGCGGAAAATTCAATTTATGAAGCTGCGGCGCGCACACGTAAAACTTTTGTCAGCACTCCGAACTAGTTATAAATGGAGCACAAGCCGGCCAAAAGTCTCCAGCGTAGAGCGGCAGATGGCCGGACTCGGGCCGCGAAAGTTAATTGAAAATTAATTTTGAATGGCATTGTTAAAATGAATCCAACTTAAGGCCAACCTGAATGCGAACAGACACCACCGACTGACTCTCTGCAAATGAAATGTACCGTTTTGCATAATTAGATGACGCCCGAAACGGCTGTAAAACTGTTATGAGTTGAGCGCAAAGCGGAAGTGGAAATGAATCATAGACTTTCTGCCATACTTACGTTTATTAATTGCCATCTTGATTGCTGGGAAATGAAAAATGAATATGTAGCTTGAGGAAGGTTTTGATATCAGAAGTTAAAGTAAACTTTAACGCTTTATTTTTGTTGGGGCTACGTAAAGTTGAACTCTTCATGAGAAAAATGATATAATTCTCTTTGAGTTATATATCAAAAACATTACCAAAGAAGTTAATTTGTTGTTTTGGCTTCTCACCTTCACAATTGAAACTAAACGCTTTGGTAACTCTTCAACCTGAACCCTGTTATGCTATGCTTCATCCAACACGAACTTCCAACCCTTTGAGCTTTTACCCCGCCTTCAAACATTCGAAACATAACTCGTGGAAAGTGTTGCCAAACATTTCGCACTTGTTCGTGTTGCTGCTCTCTCTCTTTCTCATGTTGTAATTTTTTGTTTGTGGGGGCGAACAAGCGTTATAAACTAAAAACTAAACTCGCTTCGCAAACAAACTACAACAAGTGCCAAACAGCAAGAGCAAACTAGGGCAAAAACAATTAATAAAAATATAAAACTGCAAAGACGAAGTAGTAGAACGCGAGACTTTTTGCCATTTGCGTTAATAGCCAGAATTGTGCAATTTCAAATAGCAACTTCTCAGGGTTGGTCTGCATTTGTTTGTTTGCGTGAAGCAGGAGTTGCCGAATGGCGGGGCACATCAACAAACACGGTGTGTCAGAAGTTTTAATGAAAATGATACTCTATATATTTCAGCGCTAAAAACTTTTTGGCACCCAAATTATGATGATAAAATATATAAATACAATTTTCTGGACAACGGGAGGTGGTGAAAAATATTTGGTGACAAGAAAAGAAGTAAATTGGACAGAAGCGCTTATTAACTGCACTTTTAATTCCGTTTTCTAACTGCTAATCAGGAAAGTTTTGGTAAATAAATAGGGGGGTTGGCAAAAAGTTCTTAAAAAAGCGTATAGAGAAGAACAAACTATGTTGTCTAAAAAACTTTGCCCTTTGCCCTTTTTGATAAGTAAATGCTCAAATAAAAGGCAAAAATTCGAGAATCTTCAAATAGTGCACCTTTATAAGAAATCCTTTACCGCCTCCTTATGCTGTTTGTCATTTGCTTATCTGACTATGGTCTTCCGGTCCGGCCTCCTTTTCTTCATTTCTCCCGCCATTGTATTGTTCCACTTTTGTATAGCGTCATTTACATAACACTCATTCATTGTCCGCCTGCTGCAGCTCTTTGAGTTCCTTGGTCCTTCTTAAGCTCCTATTGTCTTCCTTTGCTTTCTGGGCTGGTGCTGATAAATGTTATCCCTCGGCCTCGGCCACTCATCAATTTAATTGGAAAGCTTTTTCGCCGCTGCGCCCCCTCCACTTTACTTAATCTTATTTGCGTTTTTGGGCTGATTTTTGCTTTTTTAATTAATTTGCCACTTTCTTGAGCCAGCCGGGGTCAATTGAATTATTGATCGATCGGCAGATTGATTGATTTTGTGGGTGCCTGAGGAGGCCCGCGGTTGCATCCGTACGCTTATTGCATTCACGTAATTAAAATCACTGCCAGATGGCCGTCCTTTGGGGACATTCGTTTCTTACCTGCAAGCTCTTTACATTTAATTCCGTACTGCGGGACATCTTTGATAAAGGTCAATGGCTTATTTTTAATAGAGGTCTGGTGGGGTTCAGAATCCGGGTTCTTCTCAGCTTCCAGCTAAAAAATTAAAGGCTGACCTTTTTTCTTCGGTTCTTCTTGATTGTCTCAAGGGAAATGTCAGCACAAAAAGGTAAACTTTTCAATAGGGCTTAATTAGTTAACAATTTGACAAGTTGTTGGGCACTAAGGTGACACTTTTGGTAAAAGGGTCTAAGCTCTACTTAAGTTGAAGCCCAACATTTTTTACATATTAATAATTAGTTCTTAGAAAAAGGTAGAACAATGAACGACATTTTATGTTTAGATTTCTTAATTAAAGGTTTCATTTTTGGCAATGCAAAATTTTTAATAAGACGTTATAATATTTCAGAACATATTTAAACACTTTAAACTTTATTTACTCTTTCTTTACTCAAGTGATATAGCTATTGTTATTTTTTTAATTTTCTAAAAATTTTTTAGACACTGTATCCCATATTTAAACACTTCTAACTTTAAACTTATTATTTTTCTCTATTTTTTTTTTTTTTTTGCTCTATTGTCATTTTTTACCAAATTCCATTTATAATATTAACCAATTGAACACTGGCTCAACTTTAACACCGGCTGA